CTGAAGTCAACACTGTCCTTCCAAGTGCCTCACTCAAGAACTATCTTTCATTCATTTTTATCTAGCAGGAAGGTTGTTTAAGAATTCTATAAAAAAGACAGAAATGAATGCAACACCCTCACTGGAACGCATTCCAACTTAGTGAAGCAACACTTTGAAGAAGTGAGCAGGTTGCCTTTCCATTTAAGCAAACACTACTGGCAAGCTCAGAGGAGGAGGCAAGCATGGACCAAATCTCATGGAAGCACCGTGTTAGAAAGGTAGGACTGACACCCACTGTTGCTCAGTTAATAGTGTTAGTCTCTCTAAGAAACAGACAAAACGTTCTCAGCATCTATGTGGAGGTAAACTTGAGGCATTTCTGTCAAAAATTCTGTCATACCCCGTTACGGATTAAGTACAGAGCACATAAGCAACGCTTTCCTGTATAGACAGGGATGCAATTAGAAGAGATGAGGCAAAATCAGTAACGTACATGTTGGCATTAATTAACTCTGCTTCCTTCTGTACCAGCAAAAGTGTCACCTCCTTTAAACTTGTCATAGCAGCTTCACGTACCCTGCCAAAACAGACAGACAATGTTAGAGTGCGGACATTAAAAATTATCTGAGTAAATTCATCAGCATGTTAACACAACAGGCACTGGCAGAGAAATCAAACAAGTGCAGAACCCTGCAAAAACTGAACCCTGAAAGCACCTATGTGCTTTGTCTGCTTCAGACCATCTTCTGAAAACACTAATCTGCATTTTGACATTGACATTTAAGCACTGTAATTCTTCAAGCTTCATACTTCCAATGTTAGAAATTTGTGACTCAGAATAGTTTAATAATAGTTTAAACCCCTGTGCTAAAGAATACCTAGGTAAGAGTTTCGTGAAAAAGATTTAGCTCAAGTAACAGTACACTGTGCTTGCAGTGCATCTCAGCTACACTGTGAACATCTTCTGTCCTCAAAATGTCAAAATATAATTTCAATATAAAAGAAACAAATATGAAGTATGTAATTACAACTTGAAAAATAAAGTCTATACATCAGGTTTAAACCAAAAACTTTATCAAAATATGAGCTGTCAAAAATAGCTGTTTTTTGAACACACGGGCAATACTATGGCACAGTCTCACTTGGTTACATGACTCCATAATACACCAGCACCAGCACATTCATCACATGAGCAACTTATATTGTTTCTTCTATGTAATAATTAAAAATCTTATTGAAATATTTTAAAGTGTACACCTGTCTACTGTGAAAAGACATACTCCTGTTTTTGTGCAATTTCCAAAATAAACTGAAAATTGTTGTCTATGCAATCTAAAATGGGGTGGGACATTTATTAAAGTGGTAAAAAAGTCAAATTACATCATTTTTTCCTAAGTAGTTCAATACAAGCTTGGCAGTGTTTCATAAAGGATATTTTTCTGCTTCTACATATAATACCTGCCTAGTAGATCTTCATGTCTAACACCTGTAGACAGATTGGACAAGTCCCAGCAAATAATCTTGTCGTAAGAAACGTCAAGTTTGCAAACGGCAAGTGAAGCTGGGTAAACTTTCCCACGATTCCATAAGAGACAAAAATCACACCCCAATGGAAAGGTCTCTCCCCACATCTTCCCGTTTCAGTCAGTGGTTTGTAAGACAGAGAAGGAGAAAAGATTTGTATTTCAGAAGCCACAAAACTATTTAGCAGCTGACAGTTTTGCTATGAGAAGAGCTTTCCCATCTCCCTTTCATGCCCATGTTTCGCACTGTTGGTTTTGGCTGGCGCTGTCAAGGCAGCCTTGAAGGAATTCGGTGCTCAAAGCGCATGTGGATTTTAACGGCTGTGGGGAATTGCATTTCCTCGGGATTTCTTAGGAAGTTTCCACTTCTCTCGAGTTTTGTTTAGTTTTTAAATTAAGACATATGCAGGAGGATGAAAAATAGGTACAGGGAACACAAGTGAAAGCTGATCATGGGGAAGTTAATGTGAATAACTCATCTACACTTCACCATCTTCTTCCTTATCTGCTTCAGTATCTAACCTAATTTTGGCAGCAGAAAGCTTACTACCTTTTTTCTTACTGACTCATCCCCCTCCATGGTTGCTCGTGTGTTCCCTTTACCTACACCTGTGTTAGTACATTCTCCAAGCCAGGGACCCGCTCCCTGTCCTGGCGCTCCGTGGAGGGCGGAGGAAGGAGGAGAGGGAAGGCCAAGCTTCCTCCTCCCTCGCGCTCGCTGGCACGAGCCGCCTGGGATCCGTTCCTCACATCTGCCGGCTCCGTTTTCCTCCCAGGCTTGGAGGCGTCAGACGCACCTCTTTTTCTCTGGTTTCTTGCCCCATGTTATTTCCCTCCTTCCCTACGATTTCTTTTGTGCTGCCATTTCCTCCGGGCACTCCCCCTGCCGCGCAGCCTTGCTGTCAGATGGCAAATTTGACAATTACTGTAGGGCAGCATTAAACAAAAAGCAAACAAACAAAAAAAGAACCCCCTTCCCCCCCCAAAAAAAAAACCCAAACAAAATAAACAAAAAAAAGGAAGCAAAACATACAAACATGCAGAAATCAACTTGGGCTGGAAAGAAGAGCTTTGATTATTCCCCTGAGCCATTTTCCAACACATTCCAAAATAGTGCAGTAAAGCACCTAACAGAGCAAGTCCCTTAAAGCCAAGGGCCAGGGGGACAGAATCCTAAAACACAGAATTAACCAGAAACTCCAGTGTAAATGCGAGGTTCCCAAACGCTGCGTACTTGGCATCGTGTGTTGTAGGTGGCTTTGCACAGAGATCAGCACACTCCGCGTGGCCGCGGAAGCTCAACGGAGCAAGCGCCCCCGACGCGGATCGTTCTGCTTGCAGCACGGAGGAGGAAGCAAGTGCCTGAGATTGCTTTGGCCGCAGAACAAGTGAGAAGAGGAAGGAGCAGAGCAACCCCTCCTTGCAAGGCACAGCTCATTTCTTGCCCGCTTCAGCCTTCCCAAGTCAGCTCTTCTTCTGGCTTCACTGCAGCGACAACAAATCTCGTCGTGTGCAGCCTCTGCTTGATTCCCTAATGGTATTTTGCAGGCCCTCCCTTTCCTGCCTGAAGTGCAATAAATATAGGACCAAATACTATTTCTAAATATCAACAGGTGGTTCATCTACCATCCTGAACATGCATCTCTGCTCTCAGATGGGTCGTGGAGCTGCCACCGAGGTGCGTGTTTCTGCATGAGCTTTAATCTGTCTAACAGAGAGTGCAGGGAGAACACGGTGCCTAGAGCTGGGGTGAGGAGCCCAAGTTTGCCATAATCCTTAAATTTAGTCCCTGCCACCACCTCTTCGCCGCTCTCATTTCTTGCCCGCACCAAGCTCGCCGTGCACGGCTGCCATCGGAGCGTCACTTTGCTGTGACGCAGCCACCTCATCCCGACAGGCCCCGTTCCGGCAGCGCTGCTCCAAACCACGCTCCCGTGCTCAGCCTGCCCGGGGGAGGCCTAGGGTTCACCCAGGCACGGAGAAAATGCTCCCCCAGAGACGGCGTGAGGGGCACGGGGCCCGGCCACATGGCCCCGCGCGGCACCGAGCTCAGGGCTGGCACCAGGGTCCGTCCCTGCCTCCACGGAGCCATCTCCACAAGCTCACGTGCTTCCAAATCAGGCCACGGAAACAGACTGGCCAAAAACGCATTCTACTCATTATAGGCTTCCAACAAATAGTGCATAAGGAAAAATTAAGCACGCTGCCACATTCATTGACTTAGTCTGTGGCTTCTCTCTGCAGGGATTATCATTCAGCAGCAAAGGCCTTTGCTACTGTGTAGAAGCCTGAAAGCCAAAGGCTTTAGGCCAAAGGCCTAAATATTTGAAGTTGATCGATGCCAGATTATTTCTGAATGGGGTTAATTCAATACTTAATATTAACGAGCATTACTCCAGGCCAGACATACTTGTGCTCATAAATACATGCAAAAAAGGAACCTGACAAGAGAGCCTGTATTTTTGCTCTGCGTGTCCTCATCTTGCAAGATCTGCACACTGGTCTTCCCGCCCAATCGCTACCTTCTGGCATTCTGCTGGATGAACTGAATAAGGGGAAACTTCCCTTACTCCAAAGACTGCAGGAATTTCCAATCCACAAGTGCTGCTACATCCCCAGTTATAGCTTCTTTTGAAATTAAAGACAAACTCAAAGAACAGCAAAGGCTTTTTTGCCATCTTGGTGATCAGGATTGCATTTCCAGTTCTGTGTTACTGGCACAATACAGAACATTCAGCTTAATGTAGTCTCATATCCCAAATCCTGTTTATATTTTAAGGGAACTCCGAAGACTGAAGCACATCACAAAACTGTGATTGCCACAGATGGGAAGTATTCCTGTATCTGTTACTCTAGATACAGCAATAATAGATGTATTCCTACAGACTTAACGTTTACCTATTACTGCAACATAATAACTCAGATCATGAAATCCCCAAACTTTCAAGAGTCAATAAAGTGACTGTGCAATAGGAAAAAAAAGTCCCAAATGTGGCCATCTCAGTCACAGTGCAGCAATCACTAACAAATTATACAACTGCTCCCTCTCCTGGCAAAACAAGACGAACAAACAAGAGCTCAGGAAGTAGGAATAAATGTAGTATTTCAAGGAAACTAGAAGCAATAGTTTAAACCACTGTACTTTTCATGACTAGATTTATTCACAATATTCACTAGAAGAAATGAATGACATTCGGAAGTCAGAATAAGGCTGAACTCTAGTTTCAAACACAACAGACCACGTCTTTCTTCTAAGACAAGGGACAAATTCTTTCTGCTTTTCCTTTTCCTATCCATTTCTCTCCCTGCTCCCCATACCCAGTTCTGCAAAAGTTTAGAGGCATCTATTTATTTCTAAGAGTATTTGGATAGACATCCATTTTTCATTAGACATCAAAAACAAGAGCTAAATTTCGCACTGAAGTCTCCAAGGCATCTTACCAGCCTCCCACGTCCCCGCGGCTGTCGGTGGTATAGTCTGTCACCCCACTGAGCAGCATGGCATAGATCGGGGTGACGTTATCCTTGCAGACATATTCTTCCTGGGATCCATCTCCCTTCACACCTACTGTCTGGCAAACCCTTTAAAAAGAGGAATTGCAGAGTAAAAAAGGGAGAAACTAAGAAGAAATTAAGATCATAGGGTTTTTTGGTGGTTTAACAAACTTTACTGGATATCCTAAACATCTATGATATCTGCCCCAAACAGCACACACACAATTCAGAGACTACTGGATCACTGTATCCAGAGATTACTGGATACTGCGAGGATTCCTCATCCACGTTCCTCTGTAAAGGAATATTGCCAAAGCTTGAAACTCAACAGTTAAACACATACACACCCGCACACACGTATATAAGCTCTCTAATACCACCAAATCAGAGCATGGTTATTGTATCCATCAGTTCCTGAGCACTTATCAAAATGAAGCAAACAGGAAGAGCAAGCGACTAACATCATATATACTGAATTTCATATTAACCACCTTCTTAAATTTTAAGACAACAATAAAATGGGAAGAAACAACGTTTCCGCACTGTAACAGTTTGAGAACATATCTGTGCATGCGAACACTGAAAATATTCCTTTGGAGAAAACTTTTACCGTTTTCTACCAGTTCAACCTCCTTATGAAATAAGTTAAAAAAAAAAAAAAGCTATCTTCACCCTCCTTAATAAACATTAATCCTTAATTGAGCTCACTAAAAGTCCACGAGAATGGAAAATTTTTCAAATACACTCTAGCTGTTCATTTCATTGATTGAAAAAAAAAAATCAGTCGCATTCCCATCTACAAATGCCTGATATTGCTCAGAACCAAAGCAGCAGCAACACTAGAAAACTTCTAGAGAAAGATTTTAAAAGCAGAGAAAAATAATGATGATAGACAGACTTTGCAATTGCTATTAGGGCATCTCTTCTGGCTTCTGCAAAGCTCGTGTCTGTGTGGGTAACAAGGGTAACCTTTCTCAAGCCTTCCAAAACCTGAAAAAATAGAAAAAAAGTGAGATACAACATCAATGGTGAGTTCCTGCTAAATTTAGATACGCATATAATAGTAATATTAAACACATACGAGGACCAGGCAGGAAAGCAGCGGTCGTTTCCTCACCCCAACGTTCCACTTCTCTTGGACAAAGTTTCCCTCCCAAGGGCATCACTTGCTCCCTGTTTTTACTCAATCTCTGGCTTTTCCATACAGACTACTAAAGTAGAACTCATTTTCAATTACCCGAATCTATGGGGAGCTAAATTCATGATGATTTTCTGGAGTTTCTGTACATCAGAATTCCAAATTCACAACAAGCTTTAAATAGGATCCTTCGTATTTGCTTGATTATGATCACGAGTTTCGTTCCAAACACCCGATAGCCTCTCCTCACGGCACTGGTGGCACCTTCTCACCTGCTGGAGCCTGCCCTTCAGCAGAGATCTTGGAAGGGACCCAAGAGCTAGTGAAAAGCCACAGCGAATCATTTCCTCTGGGTTCTGAAGTTCTGAGATGTACTGTGTCACCAGCTCATCTAGAAAGAATACAACTGCAGATTGAAAAGCTGCCACCACACCGTTATTATTACATAATTTGCTAACTGAAAGAAAAAAAATTACAAACAGAAAAGCTACAGAAAAAAATTACACACAGAAAGCTACAGAAATTCACTAAGCTTAAGTACAGAAAGCCTTAAATTCTGGCCATTGAAAAAAGGAGAAAAAATGTAAAATATCCCTGTTACATGAATGAATTCTCATTTTCTCGGTGCAAGGTTGGATTTTTGGATAGAGAAGCTACCCTATTCAGACAGAAAAATACCAACTACTCAGCCTAGGAAACTATCATTTTTTCAAGTCTAAGTACGAATTTCAGTGCAAACTCAGGCAAATTCTCCTGCATTTTCAGGTCATCAGTTTCTGTAACGAGACAGGTTGGGAGAGAGTTGGGTCTCTGGATTTAGAAAGGTCTGTTATTCAAACTGCTTCCTCCCCCCTAACATCTTAATTACACCGAGGATTTACATACACAAACATACACACACACACATCCCACAGATCATACCTAAGCAATGAGATCAGTTCATGTTACTTTTTATAGACGGACAAATATAAAGTGTTTTTTGCAGAAGACAGCTCAGAAAGTCACTGTTTCAATGCAGGGATCCAACATTCAAATTCTCTGAATTGCTACAGAACAAAACAGAGAGAGTGGCTCTATGCACAGTACCACTCAGGAATAAACTGAGCTGTGCCAGGAAAAGAGAAAAAAAGAAAAAACAGGAGGCTCAGCAATAGGGTAAAGCAATACTAAGAACAAAATGAGGATGAATTTTTTAAAAAAGGAAGAGTTGGGAATGTATTTATCTCCATATTTCTACTACCTTTTGTTCAAACTCCTATAGCAAGCACTAAGAGGAAAGAAGCTCTGTGTGTCGAAACTGTGTTCCTTATTGCAAGATTTATCATAGACTTCATAGATGATCCTTCATTGAGCAGCTGGTTCAGTCACTGTGCTAACCTCTTAAGTGCGGGAGAAATTCAGATAAACTTCTAGGACCAACTGAGATAACAGCGATAAACACAACTCCAGAGAAAAAAAAAAAAAAAAAAGGTTATCTTCCTAATTAGCTTTACTGAATATGCACTTTTTAATCCTTAAAAGGAACAAAGGAATCAGACTATGCAGGTTACGTAACTGTGCCATTGCTTGTTGTCATCCAAGATTTACATGATGAAGCAATATTTGCTAGAGGAAGAAAGATTAGTTACCATAAGAAACTCCACTTTAATCATAACTCATGACTTTTTTTTTTTTTTAATCCCTATGCAATCAACAGGCCCCAACTAGTTCCTCAGACAGCAGGGAACTAGCTCCTTGTCCAGAGGTTAGCAATATCTTCAGACAAGCACATCTATGATTGAGAAACTCCCAAACCGCTGGAGCGCAGGATGGAGCCTCGAGGCCATGAGAAGATGCAAGGTTTGCTCAGGTGCTGCTGTCACCTTCGCCAGTGCCACTGCTGCAGCGCTGCCATCACCGAGGTGCTTAGTTTAAGATTGAAATTTCAGCAAAACGACAGAAAAACGACAGACAGCAAATGAGCAGCTCTAATGATAATCGCTTACTAATTATGTTACCTGAGGTAATGCAAATGTGCTTGTTCTCTTACATGTCCTGAGCTTCATAAACAGCATAGGCTGTGAAGTGTCTACAGTATTAATTCAAAACTTAGGGAATGAATATTAGAAGAAAGTCATCAAAACTGAAGTGGAAAACAGAAGAACAGAGGCAATAAAGCGATCTGGCCGAATACAGACATACTCAGAATTCTGAATCACTAAATTATCTTTGTTTTGTATTTCACTTTGATCTACAAAAACTTTTTTTTTAAATATTTGTTTAGTTTGCATTAGATTGCAATTTTTTTTTAAAGTAGGTCAATTAAAGCAATTGAGGGGATTATGGCACCTGCATCTGCACTGAATCTCCTGTGCAAAACGACTTCCACGCACGCATGCACACATCAGACATCAGACATTATGGGGAAGTTCTTCAGTGATGGATTTCAAACCCACAACATTGAAATATTAATTGTCATAAAATAGATAGTTTTAACTAGCAAAGAGACCAAAATATCCCTTTTTTGTATTGAGGACAGAAAGTATTTACATTCATGACAGAATTTTTATTTGCATATTTGGAAGAGGTTTTAGAGAACTAAGAAGCCAAATAAAGCTCACTAGAGACTTTTTGAACAGAAGGTTATCCAGGTTGTAATGACATCTTCCAAATGATACCAGTAAGTCTGATGAAAAATGTTGCCTTTATTTACAAATCTGGTCCTACTTATTCCTCTAGACCATTACGGTTACTTGGCTACAGTCTGACTCCTTCAACCCTTCAGTCACAAGCCAGGCGAGGAGTTAACCTGGAATCCAGGATAAAGTTAAGCTTCGCAGGCATCCGGAGGACGGCATCCAAACACAGCCACCCACCTCATGTTATTCCAGTGCATCCTCTCTACCTCTCCGTTCTGACACCCGGCCAAGCCTTCTGCTCCACTCCTCATTTACAGAAGCCTGAAACTTCATGCTTACCTGCCACGTGCCCCATTAACCTTTCAGCTCCCTAGTGCTGCCCTCCTTTCTTTGACTTTCACCATCCTTTTCAGTACATGTTATCTCTCTTTTTAATTTGCCTTAGTGTCATTTCACCTCTTTCCATGTTGCCCATGAAAGAATCAGACATGTGGCAATAACCTATATGAAAGGACTATCTTTTTGCTTTTTGCACTTTTTTTTAAACATAAACTAGAGATATGTATAATATGTAAACAATTTAAAAATCAAGACAGGCTGCTTCTATATATGAATAATTTATTCAGGGCAGGGACTGCATATTACTGTGCGTGTGGTAGGTATCTAGTTCCTTCTGGGAATAAAGTATTCCATTACACGCATGATTTAGGAATGACAAAATATAGGAAAATACATTGTTGTTTTGTAAAGTTTATGTAATATCACTGTCTTAGTTAAATATAAAAACATAAATGTTCTTATCTTTAAATAATTCATTTATATAACCTTGTAATCGCTGATAAACATTGTACAGTTTGATAACTGAAAGAAAGGAAGGTACAAAAAATCCTTTATAACACGGATGTTAATTCACCTGGATGTTAATTCCCCTGCCCCTAACGAGAGTTGAACTCTGCTCCCTTAACAGTGACCTAAATCCCAATTTTCATCGGGGTTTTCATCGTGATGAGTCCTCTGTGTATCTCTGCTATCTCCCTTTACCAATTCTTCTTGTTAAAGCCACTCATGACCTCTGGCATACGGATCTGCAGGCTGTTGAATTCCTGCACAAAAGCCTACACGTCCGCTTTGTTTCTTCATTTTACAGCAGGGAACAGAAAAGCACACTTTTTCCTAACATATATTATTATGTTACATTGCCTTTGTCAAAGCAAACAGTCCCTCCCTCCCCTGAGACATCTCCTAGACTTTCAGTTGGTTTTATCTCCCCCTTTTTTTTTTCTGCAGCATTTTAAAGAGCATCAGAGCTGCAGTGATGTCTGTGTTTCTCCCTGTCCCCACTCCATCCCCCAATGCTTTGCAGGTTAGGTCCAGCCCATGACTCAACCATGAATCATTACCTTGTAGAGCTGGATCAGCTTCTCCCTGTTCATTGATGTAATATTCATTACACAGAGCAGTCAGCGCGGAGACTGCAGAGTCCTGAAAGACAGGCACAATTGGGACCTGGGTATACGTGCTAAGAGCACCCTTCATGGCAACTCTTATTCTTTAAAACAGCACAAATAAGCTAACTCGATATTTAAAACATTATTAATAACCTATCAGCTGTATTCTCAGTTCAGTTGAAGGACAATACAGTATTATAAAACACAAAACTCATTATTTCATCTTTGATATACTGATGCCAGTTATATGATAAAAATAAACTGCATTTCTCCAGCAAGCTAGGCAAAGAAAACAGCAGTAATACACGGACTGAAGGTTATGAACAAAATGCCAAAATATCCATCATCAGAGCACCAGTGCCTCAATCCTAACCACTTCGGAAAGGGCTAATATTATAATGTGGAATATTCCTGAACCTCCTAAACTTTGGATTGGTTTCTGTCACCAAACTAGAAGATAAAATTAACACAATCTGTTTCAGGAGGCATATAACACGCTCAGTGACAAAATCCATGGTTGAACTGTACTTTCCAGCTGATAACATAACGCTGCCCAAACGTTTAAGCTTGAGAGCAGGCGAAAGGAACGCGGCGCGTGTTCCCTGCACACTGCAAACACGGAACCTGCTCATACTTGGGCTCGCAGGGTGCAGGAAATCTCAGCTGGTAACCCAGGGGGCTGCACGGTCTCCGAATTCTGCTCTCAAAGACTTTGCAGACTTGTTCTCTATCCAAAAGCAGGGACGTGAAAGAAACCCAGTATCCAGTTAAATAACGCAACTACCATAGGCATTATAGCAGCAAAACATAATTATCTAATTGCAATAGTTTCCTTACTAAAGAAAACAGTTTTCACCTTAAATGCATGAAGCTACATTATATGAAAAGAGTTTACATGATGTGAGAAAAAAAAAGATGATTTTTCAGTGCCTCAAGGGCTGCCTTTAAAATTATCCATCTCTAAAACAGATACAAATCAAATAAGAATTGACCCTTATTAAACATATCTTACTTAATGATAATTTATGTTAACCAAACAGACCAAAGTTCTCTGAAGTCTATAATTAATTTTCCTAACCTAGGTTTAGATGTTCCAGCTATAAGACACGCAAACCCTTTGGAAAATTTCTAACAGGCATGGATAATTCCAAGAATTCAGATTTCAACTTTTAAGTGTTCCTCAGTAATTTGGAGACCTTCTCATCTTCTCTGTCTCCAAAGGAAAGTTCTAAAAGATGAGCTCTCAGAACCTTACAATGGCTTTTTATCTTATGTTGAGAAACAGAGCACATAATATTCAGCTCTGTGATGGCTATAAGCTCTTAAAGAGCAGACAAAAAGTATCCTTCTAATTTGGGACAGCCTTTAGGAGTGCAGAATCACACCTGCATGGTGTTATTCAGGGAAAAAAAAATAAGACAAATAACTGGAGGTGTTGAAACCATGCGCATAAATAACATGGGAAGCATCCATAAATGGATTTAATATTCCAAATGAGAGTAGCTCGAGATCCCAGTGCAAGTTTGACGAACATTTGCCACAGAGGTCGGTGGGAGGCTGCTGCTGCCCACTGCGATGAGCAGCTCCGGCGCCTCCCGCCTTCCCCAGCGCTGCGGAGCGCAGGCCCCAGGGCACCAGCCACGGAGCTTTCTTATTCTTCTCAAAAAGATTCTCCAACCACTTAGGCATACCAACCCAGCAAACCCTGTGCAGATTACAGATAAATACACAATGCAACACTAGACTTGCTTAATATTAAAAAGGGAGACTAAAACAGGCACAATCTGTGGTGTATTTTATGTGAAAGAAAGGCAGAGTTCAAAATCTTGTTACATAAAACTGAAGTATGCGGCTTAAGAGTAATAAACATTTTGGAATCGCAGTAGTATATCAGGCAAGCCAAAATTGCAGACCAAAGTAGAAGCAAAATATCCTATCAAAGGAGCCATGTGGGAGAGAGCAAGTGGCTTTCAGCTCCAAGCAACCATCAACTTGAAGCTGCCAGTCTCTTGCCAAAGCAAGTGATCATCACTTACTGTGCCCAAATATATGTACAAGTATCACCTCGATGACAGCAAATGTTTAAGTCTTAAACAAAAAAGTCCCTTTGAATTTTGGAGATTTCAAGGTTAAAAAAAAGGAAAAACAAACAAGCAAAAATACTCCTTTCCATTCTAAGAAACAAACATGGAAGAATCGATCAGACTCCATAGAAAAAAGCCTATTATCAGAAAGCAAAATATATTTCTAATCTATATACCCTGTATATAGTATGACTGCATTTAGCAGGAAGAACTGCTGTACCTTTATATGCTGCCTCACAGTGCTTGAAATGTGAGGGAGACTCCTCAGGGTGTTGTTTATTAGCCACTGCCAGCCACCTGAAATCACAGGGAACACTCGGGTTCAGCCTTCCTACTTTCTCAGCTCCGGCATCCTCTCTTTTATGCTAATCTGATGAACAGTAACCCACATTTACGCATTTCCCTTTTTCCCCCCAATAAACAAAGCCACGGATGGCAGCAGCTTAGCTAACGTGCTGCTGTTTACACAGTACCCAGCCCAACACACTGTGTCTGGCAATGCTGAAAACTTCACAGGAAAACAAAAAACACCACCAACCCCTCAGCAATTTAACAGATTACCACAAAACATGTCTTCAAATAACATTACCATCTGCTTCACTATCTGGGCATCTTTTTGACAACCTTGCTCTTTTTTGCTGTTTCTTTGAATAACATAATTCACTAATATTTTATCTTAATGAGTAACTATTAAGGTAATGAAAGGTTATTCAAAATATCACATACCAATTATTGGATCCCCTCTAAATGGCATTTTCGATAGTGACAGCTTTTCAATTAAATTGCAGACTGTAAGAAAATAAATTTGATAACTGGATAAATACAAAACATGACAAGTTGCAGAAATTTGGAAGACAGACACACCATATTATTTCAGTATTATTTTTAAATGGAAGCAAATGTAGCAAATAAAAGTTGAAAATATTAACGAATTAAAACATAACTACACTTGTAATTCTTACAACCAAGGAAGCTACCAGGCTGTCACTGTTCTCTCACCAGCCCCATCATTCATGCAGATGTTTTGCTTGGTGTTATTTTACCCCTCAGAAAAGGGCATGTGCCCATGCTGGTCTTGCTTCTGTTCCTGTGCTAATCTGGAAAAGGCAACCTCTTACAGCCCTGATCCTGCAGCCAATGTCAAGGCTACAGCCACTAAAACAACTACTGTAATTTTTTGGAAGGCTTTCCTACTTCTTATCAGCAGTTTTTGGACGTTCAAGGAGTGATATCCATTCACGGCACATAGCCAAGAGCTACATAACGAGAAGCAGTTTTATTTCATTTGATATTCAGAATATGAGAAAAAAATTATTGTTTGTTATTTTATACTTATATATTTATAAATGAGTTGTAAGCTTGTAAAAAGCACTTTGAGAATAGTATTCTTTCAGTGTTCCAAGGTTACTTGCAGGAAGAGATATTCACGTAACAAACACTGCAAGCTTTCCTTATACAAGATTGAACGCAGTGATCCCATGAAAACCTGGTGCAGAGGGAGCACAGTCTCTTTCACCTACTCATGATCCGCTCAAACACGACCCAGATCAAACACATCCGCACTCGCTCTCTGACAGCTTTGCTGTTTGTGCAGGGGGTTGGCAGGGAGGAGGCAGAGGACAGAACAAGCTCCTCCACAAAGCCACCTTTCTGCCTTCCTCCCCCACCACAACGTAATCTCTGGATCTTTCTCCGGGCTCTGTACACAGTTCCTTTTCTTCTTCCTTTACAATTGGCGTACTGGCCTCCCAGACTACTCTGCAGGAGGCTGGAGTTCAGTCCTCCCTGTGGTAATGTCCCACAAGCAGCTTCCTCTGCTCCAGCTCTGTGCTGCATTACATGCCAGCCGCTTTGTTCTAGCATTTCTTTGCAGACAGTGAAGTACAATGTGACCAAAACCAAGTTTCTTAGGTTTCCCCCTTAGTTCTTGCTGCTTCTTTTGTGCTCTGTTGTGGTTGAGCACATCACCATCATTAGACATGCACGCAATCGGTGGAACATCCTGAGTTCTCCTACTCGGCCTACACACCTGGAGCGTGCCAAAGTACTGTCCTTTTTACTTCTCCAGTGCTACGAAACGGCGAGCTGCCTAACAGCTCAAACCCACTCCAGTAACGCGCAGCTGCCTGTTCCTCACGTGTCCAAACTCCCTCAGAGCCGGTGCCATCCTCCGGGCAGCTCCCACGTGTCCCTCATCACCTTGCTGTCATGGTACTGGAGCTGCTGCACCCGCTGGGGCTGGACAGCACCTGCAGAGGCAGGGCCAGCACCTCGGCCATCCCCGTGCTCAGCCCTTCTTTGAAGCAGCCCATGAGCAGGAGGCTGTCGTTGCCATCCCTCTCCTCGCCCAGCCTGCCCGCATCCTCCTCCGCGTGATGCCCTTCCTTCTTACAGTGCTTCCACATACAACGATCGTCTAAAACCCAGTGAATAACCCCCATCCTTTGGTCATGCATACCCCTCCACAAACCACTGCTGGTGATTAGATGACCTTCGTCCTTTGACTTTGTGCACACATGTACGAGGATAAGATCACTCTTTACATGATCGCGTCTGTCTTGGCGGACAGACTGTATCTCTTCTGGAGAAGAACTGGAGTAAAGCAACGAAGGCCAACTCAGCCCTAATGAAAGCTCCCTCTGGGCACCAACTGAAGGAAAGAACGTGTGACGTCAAAAAAAACACACAAGACCTGCAAATTTAATTACCATGCATATACCCTATTTATGCATTCAATACCGTGTATTCAAAATAAACTGAAAGAAAGTAAACAGTAATTCATGAGGGCAGGCAGGTTTGGGGCATGCACACCACGCTGTGATACTCACCGGCTGGCCTCATTAGCTCTCCTCCTAAACCCCTGGAAAGCAGAAGCAGAGCAATGTGAGCACACTGGGAAATAAAGAGACTTACAAACATCTTAGAATTAAAGCACCTTACAGAAGGCAAGCAACGCCTTCAGCTTTGTATTTAACCAACACTTAAATACTTCTTAAATCAACTTTTCTTTTGACTTCTACGTGATGTGTAAAAGACCTTTCTTTCTGATCATTTAACTTTGCTCTTTCAAAGAACGCAGACCTGATTTTCTAAGATTTATGTGATAAATAAAAGACCATTCTTCCTGGTCCATTTGTCCTGCTTTACAAGCTCCCCAGATCTGTGGAACTTGCCACAGGCCGTTTCAGTCTTGCAGCCCCTACGAGCTGTTGACCTTCACAAGTGAACAGTGGTTACACGCGATGTTTTAACAAAATCCTCACGTTTGGGATGTTAAGTGCAAACTTTGCTTTCCAGGTCTCATTTTCACTGGTTTACGTTTCCGGGGAAATTCTTCAACCTCCTCCTTTTACCTTCTCCTCTCATTACAGCCACCCCACAGGTTATTTGGCATTCAGCAGCACAGGGAAGGTGGTGAAAGAGCCAACACATCAAAAAGGAGACAGAAACATGTGGGCTAGGATGGTAAAGACCTTCATGAAATGAGTGACCTCTCCAGCCCAGAATCTTCACTGGGCACTGAGCTGGCTACTGAACTGAGCAGGAAGCAGGAAGGGGGATCCTGAAAATTACAGGGATCCAGGAATTACAGTCCTTATCCTCTTGTCTCCAGGCAGAGAGGTGCCTCCTTGCCTCACGGAGCACTGGCCACCGGCGCTGTGAATATCCCCAGGTGCCACCAATGCTGCTTGGGGCATTCTGCTCGGTGCCACCGTCCATGGCTTCATTTTCCCATTTCTGAACCTTTGACCCCTGCCCTTCCTTTGGCTATTTCCTTACGCCTTGCTCCTGTCTCCACTCTGTGCTGCAGTCGTTTCCTCCCCGGGCCGTGCCAAGCCCTGCTTCACCCGTTTGTGCGGCCAGGCCCCGGCAGCGACTCCCACAGCGGGGCAGGAACAACAAAGGCTTTCGCCTTTATTTGATTCTCCAACTCATTCTTTTATACAAACTTCAAAAGCCTACACATTTTAAACAAGTTCTTCCATTTCACACAAGTAGGTGCCTCCGCTTGCACACAAGGGGTTTTTGGCTGTCAAGGTTATCAGTGGTTATTATCAAGGTTACTTTCCTGTTAATACAGAGCTGCCAACTCCACAGTGTTCTCATTAGCCATGGACAGCCATGGAGCAACAGCTCCTTCGACTGGAAAACTTCAGCTTTTGACAAATGTATTGTCAAAATATCCTGCTCTTACACTTAATACTCTTATATGCAGCTCCACACAGCACTCAACAGGCTCAGTTTTATCACTGCAGGAAGCGAGCGGAGCTTGCACTTCCCTGTGCTGATAAGTGCTTGGTAGGATCTGCCCCACCTTCCTGCTGGCTTGTCTGCTCTCCAGCTTCTAAAATAATTTAAATTGGAAAACAAAGCCGTGATGCAAGGAGTCGAGACAGTGGCAAAAATAGATGACTGATGTGGCAAGGCTTGCTTCCTCTTCAGCGTTTCTTGCCCTTCATTTTGTCCTCACCCATTTCTGGCTTTTTGTCTGCTGTCTTGTTGTAAATGAGTGCAAAATAACAATCTTGTGAATTTGTTTGGTGTGCAGCAGACTCTGCTGATGCAAGGATTCAGATATGGACTTCTGCTCAGACTACAAAGCAGGCACTGACTCACAAAGGCTTCTCTTCTCCTCTTCTTCACACTGCCAAGAAGGAAGTCAGGCCACTTAAAGCTACTCTGATGTTAATAATTTGACAGCTATCCCTTCCTTTGGCAATGCATCAACTCAAGTTAATGTCAGAGTTTAGGGCGCCTCTGCAGACTGCTGGCCCGGTAGAAGAATGAAGACTGGGGACAGTGATTTGCATAATAAGATCTCCACATCATGCAAAAAGCATAATTAAGCCTATCTTTGAAGGCACTGCGATACTCTGCATTCCTGGTCTGCACAACTTCTCTGGTTATCTCCTGCCTAGACATCCCAGTACGGTTGTCCATACCTCTCATTTTCCCCCCGCCACAGCACATACATATTTCTGATGCAGGAACTGGGAGATGTATCATCACGCTGGATCTTTCCTCAGACAGTGTGTAGTTTCTGTAACACAACGTGCATCTTTCTATCGACTTTATCTCTCTCTGCTGTATTTCTCTAAATTAAAAAAGATATCGATCTAATGCAGAGATTCTGAATTGTGCTGCATGGTTGGAATTCTCTGTTTTTCCTTTCAAAGGCACATCCACAGATCACATCACATTCTCAGATGTGCCTGTTTCCAGGCTGGATGGTTAATGCAGGCTGTGACTGGATAGATGCAGCTCCCAGCCTTCCTCCCGTGCGTTCTGCCAGTGCAACGCTGCTGCTCTCTGAGCCCTCCCGCAGCTGCTTAGGGTGAGTTACACCTCACTGTGGAAAACACAATTTGAATAGATAAGCCACTGCAGAAGGGATCCATTATGCATTTTCAAATTACATAGGCCTGAACTGGAACAAACTGCAGTGCCGTTTCCTGTTCATGTAAGAGGTGAAGGTCCTTCATCCTTTTCTCTTTTTTCATTTCAAGCCTGATACTGGGGAGATGTTCAGGGTTCATCTTAAGGATTATAAAATCACTTTCATTGAAGCAGTTAGAACTGAACAGCATTCATGTTTTCACAAACATCTGAAGAGCAAAGATAAAACTACTGGAATATCCAGCAAGATTCAACTTCAACTATTCAACTCCAAGAAAGCCAAGAACACTGGCTGAAGCAGCATATTCATCTCAAAGAAGTTGATTTATCTGAATATATCCAGTGACCAGTTTCCACAAGAACTCTGTCCCACACTGGATCGGGGCATCGGAAAGGTCCAGGTTCTGCCCTCAGCGGCTTTGGAGCGCAAACTGGCCTAAGAGGTGGCCCGAAGGGCGCTTGAGCACAGGGAAAACAAACTGGGGATTTAATAAAGCTCTTAGGGCTGCTCCTTAAAGATGTAGGGAGCACGTGGTGCTTAAGCTGAAGATCTTTTATTCACTCGCTGAATTACTCAGTTCCTCTGTTGTCCTTGCACAGCTTTCACTGCGTTTAGCCAACACAAGACTGCAAGTAAATTATGGGTCCTGAAGAGCTAAGAGTTCTCCCAGTGACTCCAATAGCAACAGACTTGGATCTTAAAGCTCCTTCCAGTGCATGAAAAATACTCCTGAAATTATTTTGAAAAAAAAAAGCTAAGCAATGGCTTATCCACAGAACTGTAATATATATTAAAATTTAATAAATGTAAAAAATTGTAATCTTTTTATTAATGGCTCCCTTCTCCAACCCAAAAGATGTTATTACATTGATAAAACTTTGATGTCAGTTAAAAAAGAGAAAAAGAACACCCCACAAAATTGACAGCTCTGTGCTATTTAGCAAACCCTTCAGAACATATTTCAGCTAGGTCACCAGTGTTACTGGATGCAAATAGTAATTTATATGTGGAACGACTGTGAAGATGGACTTGTTGCAAGGTTGGAATCATTCTCTGATGATGTTTCTATGCTTAAAAACAAACAAACAAACAAATAAAAAAAAAAAACTTTTGCATAGGTAACTGCCAGGAAACACATTTGTCCTGAAACCATCGAGATCTGTTGCAACCTTAAAGGTCTTTGAAATGAGGCAAGCTGATCTCTGCCTGGCACCGACAGGCTGCCTGACTCGGCGAGGCTGGAACTCGGACGATGACAGCCCAACTCCAGCCAGCTCCTGTGCTCGGCGCGGGGAGCGTGGGAGCTGCCGGCAAACACGCGGCATCCTCCCATCTCACGCACCGACGGGAACCCTGGAGGCCCAGGAAACACAGATGTGCAGGGCAGCTACCTGGAAAAAGCCCCACATTCCTATGTGCTTCGTATCTATCCCTATTTTCTTTGGCCTGTTCCACATACTGTGAGATTCAGGATCACAAGAAAGAAGAAACAAAGCTTTGAATATCTATTTAGCTGAATATTTTCCTAGGAATCTTCCTTCAGATATTGCACTTTAAAACACTTCAAGAGAATTACTGTGAACAACTGGCACAAAAAAAGCTACTAACTGCAGTGCTCCAGTGCACAATATAAATCAGGGACCATCATCACTGTGCTCAAAGCAGCAGACTGACTTCTCATGCCAAAAAGGACAGCTTCTAGCAACAGATGCCGTATGAATTTTGTCTTAAGGTACTCATAAAGAATAATGTTAAAGTGCATAAAAGATAGCCCATTTTTTGTAATTCTGTGAAACTCTATGCACAGTGGGCAAATGAGCTGTGTGAGGGGCACAGTTTCACTGACATACCGTAATTAGTGGCCATTTAATCCCGAGAAATGAGGCCTGTATTACGAATTCAGCTGCAAGTGCACATGCAAATGGTTTAACAAACCAGCTCCTCAAGACAAACCAGTTGTCAAATGTGCCCGAATCCGAACTCCTGGAAGGAAGCGGAGCCGGGATGTGCCCGGACCTGCCTCCTCCTTTCTCGGCACGCTCGGGTAAACCCGGAAAAGCCCCTGCCCGGGAAGGCAGCAGGCGGCCGACCTGCCGGGGCTGCTCCCGGAGCAGAGGGCAGGCGCTTCGGCGCCCGGCGAGGCTGCAAACGCGCCCGGAGCTCCGGGAGCGCCGCGAACGCCGGGAGCGCGCGGTGCCCACAGCAGCGTCGCGGCCACCACCCCGGCTGCACACACAGGCACAGCAGCTGCTGCACAGGGCACCCAGTTCAATGAAGGGCTCCGGTACAGCACTAGGGCTTTGCTCTTTGGATTTGATGCACATTTAAAGAATTCCTAGAGGTGTCGTAACTAAGGAATTCACAGGCCATTTTTACAGGTTAAAATTCACAAATTACAACTTAAAAAAGAGAGAATTTTTATACTTTAGTTCCAATTTCCTTTCAGGAAACCAAGCCATTTATGAGAAGAGGTAGTTCAAAACATTAAAATCCATTTGGTGCAGGAAAAGATAGCTATTTTATTGCCAGAAGTGAAAGCAAAATGCCTAACAAACCTTTGAGATACGTGGCCAGAAGCCTTTTTATTTCACCGATTTAGAAAGACAAATTCAACATGCAGCTTTTCAACACTCCTATAAGCTGTTGTTACACTGAAAATTCCCGGTAGCAATTTCTCAAATGGAAATCTTTGGAATATTATGTGCAATAATTACTCATCATGAAACAAGTTTGGCTTGTTTCACTAAGTGCTTGCCCAGCAACACTCAAATTGCAAGCTTGTTTTTATAGCCTAGTTTATTTTTCTAGTCCAATTTTAAAATATCTTATGCATACCAATATTTTAAAATATGGATTCCGGTTGACATCTCTGTCTCAGCCTGAGTATTAGAGTAAACAGCAGTGAATCAGTTTTGCTTGGAGTTGAATTAGAAGTCTTATCTAGGATGAAAACATTTCTGTAGGCATCTTATAAATACCATTAAGTGCAAGAAGTGCACATTATGACAAAAACAAATTACACCCAAGCTCCACCCTGACATTAAAGAATTTATGGGAGCCAAGACAGCCACCCACAAAGACACTAATATACAGTATCAGCATTAAAACTATACGCCAGCAGAAGCTAACTTCCAAAGCAAAGTTCCACATCAGCAGGTTACCACCCTTGAAATCCCCCCCTTTTTTTTTCAGAAGGTTTCAGGATATAAAAAAATTCACATTAAAAATTAAAAATTTAATTAAAAGTTACACACGCACACACACACACGACATGAAAGGTTGTACTGTCTTCTGCTATGCAATGTGCAGAGAAGTCAACTACAGAATGGCTCAGAAGACCGAAGAGTTGGTTAATCAGAGGGAAAAACACTCGTACACATGAATAGTTGTTTCGGAATAGGGGTCATTCATTATGCTTTGATTTCCTTAAATCTAGGAACAAACCCTGAAGTCACATACCAGTTCTAATTCCCATTAAGTTAACAGTTACTTAAGGCAAGCTCCCTTTATTTCCTGGAAGCTTCAATAAATAGGAAACAAATAACAACTTGGGGAAAGCTCATTTACATTTTCCTTGGCTTAAGAATTGGAAAACTCTACTGAGCTACTTGCAATACTGCTGGACTAATCACTACAAAGGATGAAGAAAGTAATTAAATAACTTAACTAGAAGCTCTCTCTCTTTCTTTCTTTTTCCTCTCATTTTTTTTTGATTTTTGGACATATTAATTTATTAGTTACAGATCAGTTCCGCAGACTGATCTGAACCACACGATGACTACAGGACAAGCAAATAAAGGGGAAGAAATGCCCTTCTGAGCAATTACCTGTTACTCAGGCTGTGCATTAGTGCACACACTGCATTTCACATTCGCCCCTTTCTCTAGCAGTCTCTGTCACAACATTGGGAGCACTCCTGGCCACTTGCTCATTAACCCAACACACCTGCTCGTCCCACGCTCCAAACCCCGCGGCCACTACGAGGCAATGTTAGCTTTGGTACTAGGTGGGCAAGACTAAAGGGATGCCATGTGATGAAACGTGCTTATTTCTAGGCAATGCTTTATATAGGGAAAGGATTTCTTGAGTTTGTTTCCTTACCTGTACAACTGACGACTGGAAAGCTATAAAAACAAAAGAAACAAACAAAGAAAAAATAAAATTAGCCAAGTTTTGCTGAAAAGATTTTTTTTGCTTCCCCTCCTCACATGCAATGGCTATATACTGTGTGCTATACTTTCTGCTTCAACAAAAAGGATTATTTTTAAAATAGTAAGATTTCTCAAAGGAGAAAGCTTTTTTTTTAAAGTATGCTATTCTGTGAATCATTTACTTGAATATAAAAATGCTATATATCCATTTGAACTTTATACTCAAAGCATGCATTCATATAACACAGTGCAATACATTCATAGACGAGACATTTTTGTTATTCCAAAGCCTTCATGGTCACCAAAAGCTAGTTTTGCTTTTTAAAATACATTTGGTTTCCCTAATTGGCCCTTTTTAAAACATAACACACTTCATTAGTTGAAAATTGGAAATCAGTTAGCAAAAAAAAATTTCAACATTATGGTATATCATCTCCAAAATCAGAGATGATAGGACTTTTCTATAATAATCACTGCAAAAAGATTTTTCTAAAAAAAGAATTTACATCAAAAATTTGTAAATTAACTAAGAAGAGAGAACAGTATAAACTGGATGAGAGTATAAGAAATTAGAGTCACTTTTGGGCATCATAACATAGAAAAAAAAATAATCAAGGACAAAGGACAAAGACTCATTCAGCCTGTAACAGCATTTTTTACCTGCACAGAGAATTAAGCGAGAATGAACGTCCTTGGAAACACAGTGGGTGAATAAAGGAGCATGAGCAACCAAAATGGGATGGAGGGACAACAGGTACTACAGAAAATGAGCAAGAGTCTCAACACAGATGTAACATCTATTTGATGTGGTGAAGAAATAGGAGCTAATAAATAAATAAATATTATTTGATTAGGCAGAGAAGTCAGGCAAAATTATCTCTGTAGAGCCATTTTTATGTCAATAAGAACAACACAAGACTCCATCAGTCTTGCCTAGAGATAAAGAAAATACACTTATCCAAACAAGAGTAGGAAATTAAAGCTTTATAAACAGGTAATTAGGATGCAAGGATTTAGCAACACGATCATGCTTTAAGAAAATAAATAAATAAGTAAAAAAGACTGTAGGAGCTCTCCACTCCTCAGAAGCTCTCACTTGGGCTTGGTTACCTTAAGATAACAGCCACACATTTATCCATACGGCCACAACATGCGTATGCATGTGCAGAAAAGATGGAAAAAGGGAAGGAAAAAAAAAAAAAAGAGGAAAAGCACACAGAGTATTTCAGAAGTGTAAGCGACAGCATCAGAGAAAGTGGCGTAGCTGGGAAGGCAGCAGGAGAGAGGAGAGGCACAAACACAACCGCGGAGCAGGGCGGGCGGCCAGGCCCGCGTCACCGCCCTGGTCACAGCAGCGGCCGCTCTGGCGCTGGGGGAGCGAAAGGGAAAACAGCAACTGCTCAGCGTAAACGCACGGGAAAACACACAGCAGGGCAGCCTACATGCTGCACCGTGCTGCATACCAACCTCTTGGTGGATTTGTTTAAGTCCCTCCAGGGCTGTGTCGCTCAAGTAGTGTGTGACAGATCTGTAAAGGTATGCAGAGTTTGGAAGACCAGTTTCCTAATCATTTTCTACAGTTCCTACAGATAGTTCTTCCTCCATGACTTTATTGTATTTTCAAACAGAACAGCAGCTATTTCACTCCAGATTATTCTCAAGAGATATGCAATATTTAACTTTGAAAAGTTCAGAAAACGTAACAGCAACTAGACTTTGATATCTATTATTTGAGCTCACTTCCATATGCTTAACTTGCACAAGAAATGACAAGACTAAATTAAATGTGACCATTTCAGAATTTTTGTGCAACTGCATTAAAATGGTTTCCAAAGTAAAACAAAAAGGTTATTCCGGGAGTAGAAGAAAAGCTTTAGAAGAAAAATGACCAGTTAAGCCGGATTTTTAAAACAGATTTGTTTAGTATGTGCATATATACATATATATGTCTTTATGTGTACATATATATGTATGCAAATATATATGTGAATCCTACTGAACTGTTTGTTTACTGTCAGTGAAGGTTGCAATCTAGGATCTTGTTTTCCACTGCCTTGCCCCTAAACAGCTATTCACTCCTACACATGTCAAGCTAGCATGAAATTCTACTGCTAACCTGACCTCTAAATTCTGATTTAGTACTAGTTTTTCACCATTTTTCACAGATATCAGGATCACTCACAAGGAGCAAGAGGTAAACAAAGAAGTAAACTTACTACTTTAACTGGAACATAAGCAGAGGTCTCTCTCAACAGTTTTGTCGCTCAGAATACACTACCAAAGCATAATAATTTTGTATATACATACAAAAATATATCTATATATACAGGAACACACCCACATATACATATGTATTTATACACACAAATACATATGCATATTATCTCTGCAGCAGGACTCAACAGTAATAAATGTGTCAGTCCAGCTTGAGGAGCTGCAGAAGGAACCGCTGCAGAAACACTGTCCCCTGCCGAGAAAGTCCATCCCAGTGCGGCAACAACCGACCTCCCCTTCCTGGTTATTTCAGTTTAGATCTCAAGTCTGCAACGTTACCCAGTAAAACGGGAAGCACTGACATTACTGATCAAAACCAAACAACAATTCAAAGGGAAAGAATTTCTCCAGGAAAATGGAGATTTCTGTAATTATATTAAAGAAGCTTTCAATAGATCACACACGGAAGGAAAATGCATAATTGAGATAATGCACTTATACCTGTTATTCTCTTCTGCTAGTTTACACAGTGCCTGGGTGATCTCAGCACAGGCAAGAATTGCCCCATGGCGTGTGTGCAGATCCGTGCCCACTGATAAAGGAAGAAGTCTTGGCAAAACTGAAAAAGAATAGTTGTTTTTTTTAAACAAAAGCTACTGACAAATGACAGCTGCACATGATGTCTGCCTGGTAAAACCATTTCTAGAAAGTCAACTTTCTCAGTGTTACTTTAGAAGGATGTAAAGCAGAAATATATCTAGGCCATCAAAACCCATTTAAAAATACAAGCAAATCCTGTCAAAGCATACTAAACCAAAGCAGGATTTTTGGTTTTGTTCTCCTCAGTTCCCAGTATGGAGTAAATAAAATAGCAGGCTTGCTAGCAGCTTGCTAATAGTGCTTGCTAAGCACTGGTTTGACTGAGCAGCAGGGAAATGAGGCCAGTAGGCACTTCCATGGAAAGTGCCACCTTCCTAGCTGAGTGGGCCAAGAAGAGATTGGAATTCGATTACCACAGAACAGCCAGAAAGGAATTCTGAAGGTGTCAGAGTGGATGAGACGAAACAGATTATCCCTCTCCACCATGGCCACATGAACGTCACATCAACCCAACAAAGCCAGGAATTTGAGAACTAGCATCACTGAACTGTTGCAACAGGATGGCACCCAATTATTCTTATCTCCATTGATAGGATCCAGTGCAGCAAGACATCTACCAGGCCTTCAGAGAAATGTATGTGGTATTATGTTTATCGTACTGCATACAATAAAAAAAATGTTAAAAACAGTCATGGTGCTGAGCTGTATGAGGCTGGGGGGGGAGGTCTTATGTTTTAATCAAGTCCCAGTGCATGTTGGTGCCTTCCTTCCTGAAATACCTGGGTAGCAGAAGTCAGAATCCTGACAGGGCTGGCTCGGCAGGACGGGTTATTGCACTTACCCACATGGGCCATGTACTCAGGAGCCCGTGGCGTGAGGTTGTGTAGAGCTTTGGCTGCAAGTTCTCGAATAACGCTGCAAATGGCAAAACCATTTTAGCAACTGTAGAATTATAGTGGAACTAATGCATTAAAAATATAACATGGGGAAGGGACTGCTGTCCAGAGTGAGAACCAAGACCCCAGTACTATGAAAGAACACAGCATTCTCTGCTCTTCTTCCTGGCAAAAGAGCCAACCAAACCAAGGAGCAGAGCAAGCAGCCTACAAGTAGCTTTTGGCTATAGGAACAGAACATATTGCTGAAAGAGACAAAGAAAAACACAAGTGGGGACGGTAGAACCCGAGGGCTCATCCTATGCACTGGCAGGGACACCACAGTAAACTGTTATTATTTCTCGTGATGCAAACTATTATCAGCATTGATACAATCTCATTGGTGTTATAGGTGCACATTTTAATCTTCATGAATGCTGAATATGAGTAAGCTCTATCTCCATGCATGAAATCCACTTTAATTATGATAATTATATGGTGATGATGTTTACCCTTCACATACGCTAGGTAGTATATAAACGTGGTTTTGTTAATCTCTCAAAAGATTGAGGTCATCAGAAATTCACAAACGAAGTGGCATCAGCTACTACTTGTCCAGTTTCCTCCATATTAAATATTACTCCTTTTCTATTACACTAATGCATTTTAAACTGTTATCTTTTGTGGAAAATAGTCATCCCAAATTTAAGAAAATTACTCCAAACATAGTCATAAGGTGATATCATTCTAAAATTGCCCATGAGTTAAGTGTCCAAGAACAACATACCTAAGTAGTGTTCATCTAGCTGCTCTGCCAGAGTAATACCTTTAGTTGCTACAGTGACAAAAATACACTAGAACATTTTAAGCAAAACACACACAAATAAATCAAGGAAAGTATTGCATACAAAACAGTAAATTCCTAGATATTAATATAATTAGACTGCATCAGCTTACCTATCCCAGTGGTTAATCTTCATGTTAACTAAATGGTCAATCATTGGTTGCGCATACTCAGGAAAACCAGCAATATACACACTGAGGAAGACACAGCCATGTGAGAGAACGGAAGGGAGAACAGGACCAACATCTCTGCATTTAACACAAGCCACTGTGATCATTTCAATCCTCTTGTTTTTAAAGCAACAAAAATACCTTCTACCAAGTGAGATGCAGCTGACTCAGGATACAGCACAAAACATTTTACATTTGTTATGAAGATTTAAATCAGCTTTGGAAAACTTGCAGTTTCTCTATAAAAATTACTACATACACAAAAACACGGACAACAAAAGCAAAAACACTTTAAATAATCAATTCCTATTGCTAAATTCTAGAGAAATGTGGAAGTGTTATATTCGCGTACGTAATTATTTTGGACTAAAGAAACGTGCTATTAGGGTAATTCATTGTACATGGAAAAATTAAGTTACGGGCATGTGTCTCAAAGGACTTTCCAAAACTGAAAATGGGTTTTCAATTTGTTATTTGGAAAAATCAAATATTTACAAAAGCCCTTTATGACAAACACATTGAAGCCGCCAAGCCAAGCCCTCGGAGTGAGGGACCAGCAGAAGCCCCGGGCCGGCCACCTGCACCAGCAGCGGGGCCACCCCACCACCGGACGGCTCGCCAGGCGGCTGCAGGAAGCCAAGAGCACGGTGCCTTTTCCATTCATTTCATATTCTCAGCACAAAATATTCTCAGTGAGGTAGCCAGTGGCTAGCACGTGTTGGCAGCAAGTTGACGCAGACAAAGGGAGGAAACTAAGGCCACGTGCATTACCTCAATTTCACCTTTTTGGATCTTTTCAGTGATTACATTTGCAAACATAACGATGGGTGTTTGCAAACAACGCTGCTGCGTGTTTCATACATGAATAGCCCTCTTGACAGCCCTTCTGCTGAGATTCTTGTCCACCTCCCTGTTTAGATCAAGAAGCTTCTTCCTTAATCTTACTTCTATCCTACCCAAGAGTCCTGACGGTCTCCTTATTCACAGTTCATACAAAAGAGGTTTCCTCTATTTTCATCCTCAGAATAGATTAAGATGTTTGAGCTCAATTTTCCAAAGAATGTCCAAAGAATGTACTTCAAAAGCATGGAAAGCTGTCGTGAAAGGCATCCATCAAAATATCTGGAAGGATATAAGCTACC